ATCCAGTTATCGAAGCCAGGGCAAGTAGGTATTATCTGCAAGTGTGGGTGTTCTCACAGCTGTTATTTTATAGTCCTGTTATTTGCTTGAAAGGTGGGTTCTGGGAGTGTCTTCAGGTTCAAGTTAGAAAGTTGCCTCATGTAAGTAACTCGTTTGGCTTTGAATTTTGTGGTCTGCACCTCCTCCCCCCACCTTTTTTTTTAAACCATTCAAACCAGGACCTTTTATTGTATTTTTTGTCAGAGTGGTTGACAGTGGTAGCCGAGCACCACCTACTTCTGGTCTCAGGGTAGAGGAGGCTGTGGTACATGCGGACCATTAGTTTTCTGGACTAATTGTGTCTTTGTTCTCCTTTGCTCCAGGTTGGTTGGTTGGTTATGTGCCCTGGAGTCGGTTCCAACTCATAGCAACCCTGTGGCTTCTGAATCTGTAGATCTTTATGGGAGCAGAAAGCCTCATCTTTTTCCTGTGGAACAGCTGGTAGTTTTGAACTGCTGAACTTGCGGTTTGCAGCCTGATTCGTAACCACTATGCTACCAGAGCTCCTTGCTCCAGGTAGGAAAAGGTAAATAGTTGCTTCTTAGATGGCTGCTCAAAATCTCTTAAGACCCCTAGATGCTACTCACCAGACTAGGATGGAGAATATTATCTTAATGAACTGTGTTTTGCCAATTGACTTAGATGTTCCGAGTTTAGTAAACTTTTAATAGCTATAAACTTAGTGTTTCAGCGGTATCTCTCATTATGAAATATACTTTTACTATTGTTCAGATTGTTGTTGTTGTTAAATGCCATTGAGTTGGTTCCTATTCATAGTAACCAATATGGGGTTTCTGAGGAGAAACGGTGAGTTTGAGCTGAGCCCTACCCTCATCCTACAGTGCCAGTTGGCACTTATCTGACAGTGCCAACATGTTCTTTGACTTCTTCTTGGACCCAGGAGTTGTCTTTCTAAACATGAAGGGGCTTCTAAAAGTTGGTGAAAAAATTCCACTTTTAATTCTATTTTCCATAAACTTTTGAAGCCCCCTCATATACTTTCCATAAAGTTTTTGAAGCCCCCACAAGGTCAGTGGTTCAAATTCACCAGCTGCTCCTCAGAAACCCTATAGAGTTGCTGAGTCAAAACCGACTTGAAGGCACTTAACAATAAAAAGTTATCTTAAATTTTGATTTCTAACTTAATTGCACTGTAGCTTCAGTGTGGCCTGCCAACAATCCTTTGAAATTTATTGCCCAGTGTATGGTCAAATTTCGTGTAAGTTCTCTATGTGCTGGAAAACAGCAGTGCAATGGTTAGGCGCTGTGTTCTATTGTTAGTGCCTGAGTTGGCACCACTGGACTCCACTTATGGTAATCCCGAGAAAGGAATGAAACATTGCCTGATCTTGTACCATCCCCAGGATTGGTTGTGTGCCTATAGGATAAGCACTGGACTCCAGCTGCTAGATTGGTGGATCAAATCCACCAGCTGCTCCTCAGAAACCCTATACAAGGTTGCTATGAGTTGGATGCAACTCAAAAGCACTTAACAATGGCTTTATGAGGAGGTTAGTCCCAAGGTCAGCAGTTCAAATCCACCAGCCACTCTGTAGAAGACAAGGCTTTATGCTCCTGTAAAGATCTACAGCCTCAGAAATCCTAGAGAGTCACTGAGTTAGAATCAACTTGATGGAAGTGGGTGCAGTTTAATGGTTTTTAAGTCCCTTAACTCACACTTCTACATGGGTGGGATACAGGCAGGTGAGGCAGAGGATATGTCTGTGGGTAAGCTGGCAAGCAGCAGGTGGTAGGGCTTTGGGGCTCAGGATTCTCTTGCTGCTCAGGTGGGCACACTTCACCTCCTCCCTGCTCACTTCGCTTCCTCTCTCCTTGCTCCCAGCACTGCTGTGGGACCCTTTCTCTAGCTTCTGCCAACAGCAGCAGTAGTAGTAGCAGGGACAAAGACGAAGAAGCAGGTTCCCATAAGATTTTAATATGGTGTCTGTATAACGTCCAAGTCAGATAATGTCTAATTTCACAGAACATGTTGTGAATATTACGTGACACAATTTTTCCAGGACGAGAACAAATTGTCTCCAAAGTGAAGACAATTATAAGTTGTCAAGTTTTGCTTTATATAACTAGGTGCATACTAACTTTAAATCTTTTCACGAGAGTTAAAATATCTCTAGAAATACTTTTTTTTTTTTTTCCTAGAAATACTTTTAAAAACAAAACAACACCCAGGGCCACTGTGGTACACAACTCCAGGGAGGCCATTCACCTCAGTCTGTGTCAATGACAGAGTTAATATTATCTTCCTCCTGAATTCCAAGTATTTCCCTACTTATCTGCTATTTTCCTGGTGTGGTGCTGTGGGTTAATGTGCTGGACTGCAAAGTCAGTTTGAATACAGGGTCCCTATGAGTCATGGCACTTAACATCAAAGCCCTGTAAGACTTTGCTATATTCACGTATTTAGATGATACAAATATTCATCACTTCCTTTACTACAGGTTCTTTCTTGTATCTCTAACTTTCTATATTGGATCACTTTCCTTCTGTCTGGGTCAAATTCAATTTTTGATTGAAAATGCCTCTCATTTGTTCTTAAAAAACAGTTTCAATGAATACAGAATTGTAGGTTTCTAGTTAATTTCTCATAGCACTTTGAAAACATCTTTTACTATCTTTTGGTTTACATAGATGCTGATGAGAAGTTAGTTGTCAATGTAATTCTCTTTACTTTGGAGATAATCTGTTCTCATCCTGGATCTGTTCTGTGGTGTGACCATGTGTCTAGAAATGGATGCATTTATCCTATTTGAAACAGTATTACTAGAATATTGTGAACTTTATGGTTAACGTTTTTATCCGTTATCTTGGGAAGTGTGATTGACGATATTCCCGGCTAGGACAGAGTAGAATCCTGGGAGAGCCAGAATGGTAGGGTTCAGGCAGGTGGAAATGCTGAGCAAGGCACTTGCTTTCAGTGAAGAGAGGCTCAGGCTCAGTAGAATCATGTTCTCCAGCCCATTCTAAGGCTGGTGACTCAATAGAGTCACTTCCCACCAGAAGACACCCTGGATGTGAAGTGACAAGGGGTAGGGAAGTGGCGGGGCACAAGTGCTCATGAACCGGTTACTTGGGCACCAGTGAAGCCAATGCAGCCTGGGAAGGATGGCATTTCCTGAGGAGAAGTCCTGAGCCATCTTGCTGTTTTTCACTTTGAAGAATGAGTCAGCATATAGTTGTTTTCTTTTGTAGCTAAGAAACACTTCTTAGTTGGATCAAATAAGCCAACATATTCTCATTTAGCAAAGTGTTTTATTCAAAAGCTTCTCAGCACCATCTAGTTGTCAGAAAGAATGGGTATCACCTTTTCCTGCCCACCCAACCCCCATACTCCAGAGGCAGAATTTAGACCATTTGGCTAGAGCTCCCCCTAAGGTTTGTAACTCAGATCATGATAAAGTTTTTGGTTGTTCTCTCACCCAACATTCTCTCAGCCTCTACTTACACCTGACTCAAGTAGAGCTGTGCTCCCCCACAGTTCAGGGCAATGGGAAGGAATCCTGTCAGACTTGATCAACCTCCCACTCTTGGGTTTAAACAAACACACAAACCATTACCACCAAGCTATTAGAGGCACATAAAATTGCCTTGGAAAAAAATCAATTCAGTGACTGCCATGTAGGAAGGATCCTACATGGGTAATACCCCTCCCCCATACCACTCCGGGAGCAAGGAGTTTCCTTGGCACACATCTCAGTTGCTTATCTTAAAGCAAACACTTAACAGAACCTTTTTGACAAGTGATTAAAATGCTAAGAGATCCTGAGCTGTTGGAGATGAGGAGTAGACAATATGATCTGACCTTTCCCATTTGTTTGTTTCCCCCCATTTCCTTTACTTGAAGAGTATTTTGTTTCAGCATAAAGCACACTTTCCCAAAGAGAGGTTCCTGGAGGAGATTGGAAAACCAAGAGTGTGACTGTCCTGTGAGAACACGCAGTCACAGTCAGCCTGCATAACTTTGGCTTCAGTCCGTTTGCAGCTACTTCAAGTCCCAGGGAGGAGGAAAAACGTGAAGGCAGGATCACTCGGCCAAAGCCCCCATGGGGTCCCAGGCCGGCAGGACAATGGGTTCCTGCTCTAACACAGCTAGCACCTCTTCTGGGACATGCTTCCTGTCCACCACCACCTCGTAGACATACTCAGAGAACCAGTCATCTGTCATACACAGGTAACCTGGAGAAGAGAACATAAGCCTCGTTGAGTCTTGAGGGCAACAGGCAAGCAACAGAATCCTGATTCACACTATACTTTTACAAAACTAGTATTTGTACATTCTTCTTTTTTTTTTTTTTTTTTTGTAATCTCAATCAAAATTTTACTAGCAATTCTGTGAAACATACTAAACAGACATGGCTATATTTTGACTAAGTACAAAAGAGGGGCTCAGAGTAACTAAGTGTTGTGCCCTGGCAGATAGATAGTCAGGGTTCAGAGGTGGGCCTTGGACCTAAGGCTGATACCCAGGCTACCTGAATAAAAGGGAGTGGACACCCAGTGTACTAGAAGGCAGGTGGAAAATGCTTCTGTTCCTACAGCCTCACCCATGGAATCAACCTTTAGGGCTGGAGGGCAAGTACACCAAATCTACACTTACCCTACCCAGCCGCTCTCAAGCATCACTGGTGGCTCACCTCCCTTCCAAACGTTTCTAAAGGCGGCTAAGCTTTTAAAGGCATCCTGATGGGGACCCAGTTATTGGCAGATGCTATTGTGAAGTGAAATGCTCAGTTCTTTCCTTGCCCTCCTAGGAGGAGGAAAGACATAGCGAGCATCAGAACTCACAGCGAGAAAGCTGCTCAATCTGCCCAACTTGGGAAGGGCTCCAGGATTTGAGGAACTCGCCAGTGGGCAGAAGGAGCTCTGGTAGGCACAGTGGTTATGAGTTGGGCTGCTAATCTCACAGTCAGCAGTTCAAAACTACTAGCAGTTCCGTGGGAAAAAGATGAGGCTTTCTGCTCCTGTGAAGATTTACAGCCTTGGAAACCCTGTACAGGGTGAATATGAGTGGGAACCAACTCCAAGGCACAGGCACCACCACCAGTGAGCAGAGCTGCACGGCAGTACAACCGGTACAAATCCCAACATCCCACGTTCAGAGAACAAGGGTGGTGTCAGCAGGAACTCATCCATTGGGAAGGTTAACCTGTGTCTCCAGCGCTAACTATTGATAATAGTGACCCTGTATAGGGTTTCTGAGGAGTGGCTGGTGAGTTTGACTGACCTTGCAGTTCAAACTGACCTTGTGGTCAGTACCACACCAGGACTCAGGCTCCACTAGGACAACACAAATTCTCCTTCAGATAAAATGTGTCTAAGACGCTGAAAACAGAAGGAAAATGCTTTACCAAAGCCACTGCTGATAATATCAAAAGCAAGATTAAAGTGAGGATTATGGTGTGTGTATTTAAAACACGGATGGGTTACTGGGCCAGGGAGAGTGTACAGAGCACAGAAATGTGTACTGACCATTATCTGACACTTAATATATATTAAGTACTTTAGAGGTTTTTATTGCATTTAATTCTTCTGTTAGTTCTTGGATATAGGTATTATTCTTTGAAATAAGCCATTTTTCTCTGAAAGCGTTTGTCTGTATGAGTCTAGGTCTGTGAGCCATATAAACTACTACACAGGAGCCAGAGAAAGGGAGATGTCGCTGCTTCTTCCAAGGGAGGCCCTAGAGCAGTGGTTCTCAAACCATACTGGTTTCAGAGTCCCTTTATAAGCACAAAATTATTGAGGACCCCAGAGAGTTGTTTGAGTTATACTATTGATATTTACCGTATTACAAATTAGAATGTTTACAAATACTTAGTAATAAGAATATAAAAACAGTCAATGAATATATATATTTTTAGGAAAAAATAACTGTTTTCTAAAATAAACCAATATATATATTTAAAAATGGCATAGTTTTACATTTTCAAGTCTGGCTTCACAGAAAACAACTGAATATTTGCATCTGATTCTATGTTCAATCTATTTTAATATGTTGCTTGGGAGAAAGTAGCTAAAGAAAATCCAGCCTCATACATCCAGACAAAGATGAGGAAAAAAGTAGTTACTGGGGTTCCAGTTCAGACATGCAGGGCTTACTCTAAGCAAAATGTGTGTAAACATGTCTGCAATTGGTGGATGGCTAAAGACAAGCTCTGGACTACACCTGGCTTAGTGTCACTGCTGCTATATTTAAGTGCCATCGAGTCCGTTCTGACTCATAGCAAGCCTGTATAGGGTTTCCGAAGAGTAGTTGGGGCCTTGAACATCAGTCTTGTGGTTAGCAGTCCAGTATTGATTCTTCAGTGCCTCACCAGGACTCATTAGGATGCCTTAAAAATGAAAAATCCAATCAAAATAGGAGAGCATTGTGGTTCTGTAGGATAAGCATGGGACAGCTAACCACAAGGTTCATGGTTCAAGTCTACCAGCTGCTCCTCATGAGAAAGATGAGGCTTTCTGCTCCTGTAAAGATTTACAGTTTTGGAAATGCTAGGAGGGTTCGTTGTAAGTCAGAACTGACTTAACACTAACAGTGACAATCAAAATAGTGGCGCCCAAAGGGATGTACTAAGCCAGGTAACACTTAAGGCAGTAAGACTAGCTCAGAAGGTCATGGTAACTGGTTTTTAAAATTACAAAGGGGTAATCGAATAGATTTTCCTGAAACAGGATGATAATGGGGCTTATTATGAAGAAATGTTTAGAAAACTGAACAGTGCACTGGTGAGGAAACGGCCAGGAAAATTGTGGAGAGGAAATCCTGACAATGCACTTGCTCATTCTTCGAGGGTTGCTAGGACTAGCCTCTTGAGATGTATGTTGAGAAGCCTTACCCCATCCACCCTACAGCCAGCCCTATTACTTGCCCCTTCAGACTTACTGTTCCCAAAACTCAAAGAACATTTTAAAAGAACACAATTTGAGTTCCTCGAGGATATCAAAACTGCCATTTTGACATGGCATGTTAATCAAAGAGAAAACACCACCATCAGAAGTATATAACTTAGATGGAAGATTTGTCAAGAAATAATGGCTTCACAGTTTGATATTAAGGATTCTATGATTTTGTAGCGGTATTTTTTTGGCTTAGCCTCATATTATTGGAAAAGAGGAAGACCTTGCAGAACCCATAAAGGTCCTGGAGCTGTAGGGCTTCTCTCGAGAACTGTTGTTCTACAGATATGACCGCTGGTTTAAAAGATTACACAGCAGTAGTGTACATTCATAAACTAAATGATGAGACAGAGGGCACTGCTTAATACTGACAACACAAATGAACTGCTTTGGTGAGGTCATCCATGCCCAATTCTGGTTTCCACCTCTAAGAGGAGTCAGACATGTCACGCTCATGTGGTATAGCACGGTCACCCTCAAAAAGAAAATGCCCTGAAAAAGGGTGCAAACCAAGCTGGACAAGGGAATGTAGCTAACCTAGCCCTTGGTTTAAAGTCTGCTCCTTTTCGCAACAGATCCAGGGAAGGAGAGCAGGGACAACTTTCCTGCATTGTGTCTGGTCTCTGTCTCTCCACCCGTGGCTTTGCTGGTACCAGTCAGTCAGAACATGGTCCTTACTACCACCTATACTAGTGTCACTGAACTTTTAACAATCAAAGCTTTGGTAACTCCAAGGTTAGTATAATTTCTTGCTGACTCCTAAGTAAATACTTCTTAAGAAACTCATTGTCTGCCTTCCCCAAGATGAGCCTACAGTCAACAGGAGACTGGACTACTAAACACTATACTCTTTAAGACATTAGTCATCCTTCCCCTTACCATATCGCAGTCTGAATAAATCTTTAGAGTAGCTCTGGGCAGTAAGGCAGGTGAAGGATAGAGGCAGATTTATGTAATAAATTTCTGTGTTCTTATAACAATACTATCATCACACAATCAAATGAATCTTCAAAGTATGCCCAGAGAAAATGGACAATAAGTACATCTACACTATCTTGTTCCAAAACCAAAAAGATCAGATTAAGTCTTCACAAATTAAAACTGCTATCAATTGTAATCCACCCTTTCAAAATCCCTGCCAAGAGGACCTGCTTTGATTAGTCTCTCTCTTCAGGATATGAGTTCTTTTGGGGCCCACAAAACCTCACAGTCTAGGTGGCAGCCAAGTAATTGCACTCTGAGTAGATAATGAACTTGTGGCTGCTGTAACTGTTGACACTGTGTGTCTTGGAGTTTGACTGAGGAGATTGGGATCAGTGTGTCTGAGTCTAAGGGAGTGTAAGGGAGTAGAAATGTGGCTATTTTGATTTGAGGAAAGTTGCAGCACTTTGACTTATAGAAACAATCAAAGCCTAAGAAAAAAGGAATTATTCAAGAGATGCAAAGAAAAAAAGATAATTCAAGAGATGCAAAGATTATATTTAGGGAAGTAAATACATAAACGGATAAAGAAGGTCAGCTTTAGGAACTAATGTGAAATTAAATTTGGTTTAAACTTTAATGTCTTGTTTACATGCAAAGAGAAAGAAAGAAAAAAACAAAAAAACCCAACAGTTCCTTAAACAAGCTGGCAATGCTTCTGTATTCTGTAAGACAAAGGGCAGAACTAAGAGTCTGTAATGGGAAAAACATTGTTTGTGGAAATAATTCTATACTAGTTAGGTCAAATCAACTCAGAAACAGAGAGCTTTGAATACTCCATCTCACCAGCTATTTGCAGTTAATTATTCTCTTGCTATTTTTAAAATGATGTGACAAAATCAAGGTGCTATAAATCAGAAGGATTCATTTGGCAGCATGGCCCGAAGGAAGCCACATTTCCAAAACCTCATTAAGCTAATCTCTCACCCAATGACAACATGCAGGGTTGAAGAAAGGTTCCCAGAAAGGAAACAAGTCTCACTGGTATTTCTCTCATAGTTCATACTTTCTAGTAAGTAGTCAGAGACTACCTCACAGAGCACTAATCAGTCATTCGAATTGATATCCCAAAGACAATGTAGTAATATGGAAAAGTTATAGTATACAAAGACAGTACATGCCCTATGTTAGAAATATAGATGTATATGAAAATGACGACATTAACATAAATGATAATTTCATGGCATGGGGCAGATGAGTTTTCCTCCAAAAATGTCTGAAAAGTTAGACTGCTTTTTGATTCCTTAAAAATTGCCCAAATAAAACATGCTCATCATAGAAAAGTTTTGAAACATGGA